ACTATCAAATACCTATCTGCTTTATCAAAGTCTTTCGGAAATATATTCAATAACAGTATCTCTGGAGTAAACGGGATATTAGTTCTTGTTATTTTTTCCATTATCTCATGAATCCACCTCCAGTACCTCTTTGTAACATCACATAACCACAGCCAGAATATTTTTGATAGCCACAGAAATCTAAGTATACAGCCATATATGACAATTTCTATCCAGAAGATAAAGCCTTACTGAAGGGAAAGCATACACTTTGCAAAACAGCTAGAATCCCAGGAGAATCTGCATATATAACTAAACATTACTTATTTTAATAGGATCAATTTCATTGAGATCCGTTTCATGTGGCATAGTAGAAAAGCTTTTTGTTTACCTCCAACTCAATCTCAAATAAGTTTTACTAAAGTAACAAGTCTACACAAAACTCACAAGGACAAAAGTTAAAACATAGAATAACATGTTAAAGTACACATGAGTGTTGTTACAGTTCTTTGACATACTCAGAGGTCGATTAGGGGGGGGGATCGCGGTCCCCAGCACCGCGAATGGGTGGAAGAAGGGGATATTCGGGCCCCTTATCACGTTCGGGCGTTTCACAAGATGTTCCCGGACAAACCTGGAGGTCTCCCGGGCAAACCGGGAGGTCTCCCGCCCAAACCGGGAGACGGTGGGTAAGTGGTATTTTCAGGTGGGCAGTATGTCAGCGAGCTGCCATTTCTCTGGGACACGTCCCGTCCCTCTTCCTCCCCTTCCCCCCCTTGTTATCCTCTTCTGGTATGCTGCTGTAACTGCCAAGTGTCTCCTGCAGGTGGACGTTGGAGTGTTATGTCTTCTTGCCTAGCTTAATTATATTTCCCGTGTGAACTCAACTTGTGTTTATGGTATTAGCTGTTGTGGTTCTCAGGCTGCTTCGCGCCTTTTCTAATCAGCTCCCTTGCGAGGGAATTGTGCCCATTGGGTTAACCAAGTTTGAAGTTCCTATATTACCGTTGCCCCTGTGTATTGTCTTTATTCTGAACAATCTCTGTATGTTCATGATCAACCATGCTTTGGAAATAAATCTTACTTCTTTGGAACGTGGGTTTGTTATCCTGACTTGGGATCTGACAGTGTGGCATATGCTAATGAGTTATGCTAATGAGCTCCCCTAGCTCTTTTTCTACGAAACGACCCGTGGACATACTCCCTTCAGTTTCTGAGGGTCCACTGCCAATTTTGCAACTCCTGATTAGACAAAAAGCACACTATTTGGAATAGGTCACCAGCATTTTTCATCTTGACCAGCCAAGTCTTAACTGTCCTTCTATATGGCACAGAATAAAACAGAATTATGTGTAATTACTCACTACTCTCTTTCAGAGTCCACATGAAGACTTGTTTTAGTGTGCTTTTGGGTTTGAGTAGCCGAATTTCTTTCTGAACATGTACTGGCTTTTGTAGTTAATGATATCTTATTTGGATTGTTTACTACCTGTAAGGCACATTGATGGTGATATTTGGAGGCAAGGTGGGATAAAATATTTTAATATAGATTAAAACAATTTTCAACCAAGCTGTACAAATATATAATAGTCAATTTAATGGAATTTCACATTGACAAGCCACAAGAAATTAAGAAGACATTGCTTGAAATTGTAGGCAAAAAGGGAGAAGTCGGATAATTAAAAATTTACTCTCTTGCATAGGCGTAATCTTCGTGGGGGCGGCGGGGCTTCAGCCGCCGCCGAAATTTTCAGAAAGGTGCTCAGCCTCTCCTGGGAGCCACCTTTGCTCCTAGCAAAGCAATGCCTCTGGCCCAGCCCCAGCCCCCCACCCCCCAAATTGGAAAGTCTACACCCTTGCTCTCTTGGACATGTGTTACTCAGCAAAGTCCTTATCAGCAGCCTACCCTGGAGAGCATAAAGCTCCCCTGACCTATCCCAAAGTCTTACCCCTAGCCCATTAGTGCATTTCGGAACCACACCAAGGCAACCCATCCCTGCCGGTTTCGAAAGCTTGTCGTCCTTGGTTCTAACCCATGCAAAGGTATGACCTGATGGGCAATCGTGCCTCGACCTGCTGTCTGGACCAGAGCAAAAAGGTCTCCCTTCCACAGCCCTCGCTGGCTGCGGCGCTATTGTCCATTCGCCGTATGAGCCGCCCCCTCCTGGCTGAGGCCAGCGGCTAAGAGGGCAGCAGCCTCTCCGGGATGGGGCGCTCCTCCGGTCCACTGCCTGGACGCCCCCTTCCAGCAGCCCGGCGCTGGTGGAGAGCTCCGCCTCCCGGCCTCCTCCTCGGGTGCCGTGAACGGGAGTGCCGCGTGCTGGTCCCCTAGCCCCGGGGAAGGCGGGGCGGCGAACCCCTCCAGGCTGCAGAGTCCCGGAGCCCTCCCGGGAGAGCGGCCGCGGCGGGCTCCG